TGTGGCCAGCTCAGCCCACCAGGGGGCGGGGCTGGCTGGCATGTGGTGCTGGGGGATTGAACCGCGGTCCCTGTGCTTTGCTGAGCTTGTTCTAAGTAGGTGCTTTAGACCACTGAGCCATCTCACCAGCCCCGCTTTAATTTTAAGAAATAAAACAAATTGACTTTTTAATACAGATGGTCAGAACCATTGCCAACCACCAGCTCTCTGCTCTCGAGAGGCCAGGACTCAGGGCTCCAGCCCCAGCCCAGCCTCAACTTACCCACACAGGTGAGGTAGAGCACGGCGCAGGCCAGGGGCAGGGACTCGTGGCTGGAGTGGTAGGAAATCTGCACCTGTGGAGAGACGGTCCAGGTGAGGCTGGGGGATGCCAAGAGATCACCTAGCCAGCCCCCAGCCTACAGATGGGGAAACCGAGGCCCAGCACTGCAAGGTGGACAACTCCCTTCTCCAGCAGCCTTGGGAAGCGAGAGAAGGAGCAAGCACCCGCTGCTGCCCACGTGCAGCAACGCCAGGAGGAAGGGTTAGGACGGCAGCCACTGCACAGAGGTACAGGGGTCCGGGATTATGTGAATGCACAGCCCGGGTCTGTAAACTGCAGTGCTGGGACTTGAAGCCCAGCTCCAGGGCCAGGCGCTCACCTGCCATGAGCCTGCCCCTTACAAAGAGAGTCAGGGGGGCCCCTGGGACCCGACTGCTGCCTCCCGGACCCAGGCATGGGGACCAGCTCACATGACTGTCGTTGAGGTCGTTGCTCGGGGAGTTCATGACTACGGTGATCTCCAAGCCCTCGTCAAAGTGCCACCGCCTGACGTCAGCGCGCTGCTCCCGGCTCCTCTCCGTGCTGGGAGAGATGTAGACGTCCACGCCGGGGGTGCCGTAGACCTCGAACGTGTCCGTGCCCTCGGGAACCGATCTGGGAAGGACAGGGAGCTAAGGGATGCGCTGACAGACACGGCGCTGCCTGGGCGGGGTCACTCAGGTCCCCGAGAGAGCTCGCGCACAGGGTCCTGGGCTCCAGGCTCCGCAGCCACAAGCCTCTCCCTGGTGTGCTTCCTGACCTCCCATGAGGACAGAACCTCCTCAGAAGTTCAGAACTCTGCAGCGCCCAGAACCGGAGTCAGCAGCAATGAAAGGACGCTGTTGTGGTTCTGCCACCGTCACTTTAAGGGGAACAGTTTGCACCCTGAGTCTCCCCCCACCCCACCCCCACCTTCTTGGCAGGAGATGAGGTGTCCTCTGGGTCGAGTCCCCCCAGTAGGTGTTACAGCTCATACTTCCCAATTTCTTTCACATGTCTGCAGGGTACAAAGCATCATCCCACTTACAGGTGGGAAAAGGAGGCTCAGAGAGGTCTAGTTACAAACTGAGGTCACTCAGCATCAGATGGCAGAGCTAGGTCTGCATGTAGGTCTCTCTCTGGCTTCGAGCCCAGGCTGTTGGGAATTGCTGCAGGGACACCTGAAAAAGCTGGCCCTGAGCTAGTCAAACAACCAGCTCGCAAAGTTAGACTTTAAAACTCTGGAACTGTGTCTCCCCCATTCCCAGTAGGTTGGGAAACCAGCCTGCTCATCCCTTCATCTTGGGGTCCCCAGGATGGCCTGAGCACTGCCAGACAGAAGCAGGTACCTACTGCTCTCTCTACGCCTTGGAGTCCCTGATCCTTCAGGGAGTGGAGGGTCCATCTGTCCTGGGAAGCTAGATGCAGCTCTGGACTAGGGCTTGCAGCTCTATGGGAAACCACACAGGGGGAGGAACTGGGAGCCGGAGGGGCCGAGGAAGCTTCCTGAATGAGCCCTTGCTCTGTGCCAACCCTGTGTGAATGTCTTTATGTCCCTTATGCCGTGAAATTCTCTCCGTCATCTTGGGAGGGAGGCATGAGCATTCTCTCCATTTCACAGACGGTGAACGGCCTGCCCCGGGTCACGCTGCTGGGAAGCAGCCAGCTGTGAGGCGCTGGCTGGCTCATCCTTGCCTGAAGGTACCGACAGCTCAGGTCCCCTCCCCTGCACTCTCCCACACCAGCCCCACTCAGCCTGGCTGTGCGCCAGCTCCTGAGGTCCTCACTGCAGCATCGGGATGAGGGGCTAGATTGCCACTCACCCCTGGGGAAACTGAGGCTTGGAATGCCAAGGAAGACACTCACACAGTTGTCCTGCAGCAAGCCCTGTCCCCTCAGAGGCAGGCAGAGCCCCTGAGACACCCTCTTCGTTCTCCCAGCAGGTTGTGACACTTCTCGGAGTGGCTTTTTATGAAAAAAGGAATCCACCCAATGCAACAGCATGAAGGCCCTGCCAGGCGCCCTCCCCAGGTCGGGGCCACAGGTCTGCAGATTCGGCGAATAAAAATACAGAATGATGCCTTGAATTTCAGTTAAACAACACATAGCTTAGGAGAAGTATATCCCATCTAATATCTGAGATATAGTTAAAAAGTAGTGATTTGGAATTGAAATGGAGTTAAACTTTCTGGATTTGATCCTACCTCACTACTCTCAAAACCTGGAATTTCCAGGGCTGCCTGGTACCCTCTGGCTCTTCTACTCTGGTTGTGGGCTGGTTCCTGTCAGGAGACATGGAGGAACCAGCCACGAAGGCCAGGAGACAGAAAGATGACATAGTCAGAGATGGAGCCAGAGAGAGAGACAGGCAGACAGAGCCTGGCAGGAAGGGGCCCCTCGTGCCCCACACCCCCAGGCAGCTGAGCTCTAGCAGCCAGGGCAGCCGGAGAGGTTTCATGGAAGTCCACAGCCCCATGGTATCCCTTGAGCTGCCCTTGATGACTCTTTTGGCATAAAACCTCAGTCCCCAATCCCCAGTTCTGGGCTGGGCTACTTTAGCCAGCTCCCTAGGCTACCCCTGTAAGATGCTGAGCTCCCCAGCAAGCTGGTAGCAGCCCTGGCCAGGAAGGGCCCTGGGGAAGTGGCCCCTGTAAGACTTCAAAGAGCTGGAGAGGGGAGGGGACACAGGATTGTGGCCCAGGGCTCAACAGGACCATAATCAGGAGCCACACAGATGACCTTGACTGAATCACACGGCCTCTCTGGGCCCCTATAAAGTGAATAATGACACCCATGTCTGACCTCACCGCCAGTCACGAGGCTCAAGTGGCATAATAGATAGGAAAGGCCTGGAACACCGCCCAGGATGGGAAGGGCATTATTAAAGTCAATTAGGGTGCAAGGAACAGGTGGGGGGAGGCAGTGACAAATGGGCTGGGTGTCCAGGGCTTGTTCTCAGGGGACATGGGTCTGAGGGGAAGGGATTTTCACCCAGAGCCTCAGGAGCTCAAGTGTAGACACAGGCTGCAGCAGGGCCGCTTACATGTCTTCCCTGGGTATCGGGGAGCCAGCGATGGTTCCTGGTCAGGAGGGAGCTGTGGCGAGGTGGTGAAGCCTATGGAGCTAGGGCCAGGCAACCTGGGCTCAGATCCCAGTCCCAGGGCTCACCAAGTGTGAGACCTGCAGGGGGGGCTTGACCTCCCCCAGCCTCAGCGCCTACATGTATCTGGCAGGAATGACAGGAGACAGCAGGAGTAGATGTGCTCCAAACACTAGGAATGCGTGAAAGTCAGCCCTCATTGCACTTATAGGGAAACTGAGGCCCGGAAGAGAGGTGGCCAGGAGGTAGGGCTCTACATCCTTAGAGCAGTGCCCGCACCCTATCATGGAAGTGGTGTGTTGGGATGATCAAAGGGGTGGCTTTGGGGAGCAGAGCCTGTGTCAGGTCTAGGAGGATCCAGAATTCCCACACACAGGACTGTGGAAGGCCCTGCCTACTGGCCTCAGGGGTGAGTAGGCGTGACAGGTGGCAGAGTGACCAAGCTCTGCTGTGCTGAGATCCAGGTGTGTTGTTTTCAAGGGTGCAGAACACTTAGTATTAAAACCAGGACCGCAGATTGCCCCAAAGGGACTAATCTCAGAGCCACCCCATGCAGGCGCAGAATCCCAGGAGCTGTGGGGCTATAGGCGGGCTGGGGTCTGCATTTCCAATTGCTCTGATGTCCAACGACCACTGCTAAGGCGGGGCTGCCTCAGAAAGGCTGGAGTCCTTGGGGACATCAGAACCCACACCACTCTGGGCCCTTGGCCCCCCTCATTGCTGAGCATGAGTACAGTGACAGAGAGGGTAGACCTGGCTCCCACCACCATGGGACATACACTGTCATCACTGCTTTACAGATGAGGTTTGGAGACAATAGGTGCCTTGCCCAGAGGCATGCAGCTGACAGGTAACAGAGCCTGGCTTCACAGGACACTCCTGTCTTCACTCCTGTGCAAGTCCAAAGTCATCCTCTCCCTAAACAGACTCAGAAGCCTAGGTTCTAGAACAAAACTGAACAATTCAGCCCTGGGCAATGGATGGGCAATGTCCTCAGAACTGGAAATAGGAAGAAGAGCCAGGCAATCAAGGAGGACCCCTCTGGGCTGGCCCATGGGGTGGGGGAGACCAAGGCCCAGACACCTCAGATAGCTGCCAAGGTGCTCAGACCCCCGACTCTGCCAGCCTTCCCCACAGGCTCAGGAAGCCATGACCCATTCCACCCTCATCCCCAGGCACTGCCAGACAAATGGCAGCCACTCAACCCTTTCTCCAAAGCCTAAACACTTCCTAGGGTCGAAGTTGCCTCAGCCGGCTCCCTGCAGTACAGATCTAAGCTCTGCACCAAGCAAAACATCCAGGGTGGACAGAAGGAAACTGCCTTATTACCCCCAAGAGGGGATGCTGAGGCCTCCCCAAGCAAAGTACAAAGCCCACTGTGCTAGGCTCAGCCCTTTAGGGGACCAACTGGGAAACTGAGGCCCCGGAAGGAACCGGATGTTGCTCAATATGACACAGCTTTGATGACAGAACTAGGGCTCAAACTCAGGGCTTCTGGCTCCACTAGCACCTTCTGAGTGGTATGAGCCGTTTGTCCTTCCCTGCTAGTGCAGCGTTCTCAGTCCCCGGGCCACGTCTTATCCCCAGGGAGTCCTGGAGAAACCACAGCACTGGACACTCCCAATCAGGATAGCCAGGCTTCCCTAGGGGGGCCAGGCAGCAATTTAAAGCTTCTGTTTTGTTTTCTTGCTGTTCTGGGGGTAGATGGAACCTAAGGCACTGCACAAGGGATTCAGGTGTTCTATGGCTCAGAGACACCCTGGCCTAGCCCAGCGACACATTTTTAAGGTCCCCAGGTGACTCAAATGTGAACCAAGGCACAGAACCTCTGCTTGGCAAAGAGAGGAGGCCGACAGCTCATCATGGGTGCAGCCTGTCGGAGCTGTTTGCTAACGAAAGGGGGATTTTTGTTATAGGAAGCTGGGGCAGCCACCCGTGTACCTTAAGGGTGGACTCTGCCTTCTGGGGTTTCCAAGTGCTGCTTTCTGGGGTCAGTGCGAGTGAATTGTGCACCCTCAGAGTCAAAGTGGCTGTCCCCTGGGAGGCGACTGGGCTGCCTTCAAGAAGGGGTTCAGACTCAGCAGCCTCTGAGCTGCTGTGTTCCAGCCCTCTGCAGTCAAGCAGACTGGACTGAACACTTCCAGGGTCTCTTGCACGTGGGGTGGGTGTGGCCACATGGGGAGCTCTAAGCCCTCAGAGCCAACACCAAGGTCCTGCAGCCCCAGCCAGATGCCCATGTAGGTGATCTGCACACCTGGACGGGTTCGATTCCTCTTTGAATCTCTTGCTCCAAGATTCAGCTCTGTCCTTAACTAGTTTTGTGATACTGGGGAACTCATTCTACACTCAGAGCCTCAGTTTCTCCACCCAGAAAACAGAGAGGTGGGTGAGACCTCAGATGCCTGTCAAGCCAGCCTGGGGGATGCTGTCCAAGCCCACACCATGTGACAAACTCCGAGAGGGCTGGCAGCCACAGCCTCACAGCTCCAAGAAGTCCTTCCAGGTGCTCCAGAAAAACTCGGGGCTGTGGCCCAGCTTCCTGCACCAGTGGCCCTGGGTGACCCACCCGAGTCATCCGTGGTTTCAACCTAGCCAAGTAAGAACCAAGCCAGCTTTCCCGCTGCCCAAGATTCGAGCCTGAGCCTCGAGCCTCAACGCTGATGTCCATCATGGAGAGGAGGCTTCTGTGTCTGCCAAGCCCGGGGTTGCACCCCAGCTGGGCCCTGTGGGAGAGGACATCTTGGACCACCATCCCCTGAGCTTCTCCTTGCATCTGAGGACCAAAGGAGATCCTGCAGCTCAGGGCAGGACTCGAGCACTGGGTTTGGCTTTTTCTTCCCTCTCTCGCCCCAAGCCTCTCTGTTCAGAAGCCCAGCCAGCCATCTCCAAATCACAGAGAGGGAGGGCAGGGTGGGACCCACTACCACAGGCCAGGGGCCCAAGACTCGCCTGTGCTCACTGTCCAAGGCTCCAGCGGGGCCCCTCTCCCAGGACGCGGTCCCTGACTGCTCAGCGCATGTTGTTTCCTGGGCTCACTTCTCCTCCTCCCTGCAGTGTGGCCCTGAGGCTGCTCCCCAGGAAGCGGGTGCCTGGCAGGCTTTGGGGCACTTGAGGCTGGCCTCAGGTTCAAGACAGAGCCTTAAAATGAAGGCAACAATGACAGCAATGGTCATGCTCGCCACAGGCAGGGCACAGCTATGCACTACACGGGCATCGCCCGACCCAAGCCTCCCAACAACCCTTGGAAGAGAAGGCCAAGCTGTCTCAGTCACATCCTGGCTACACCACTCGCTGGCTGTGTGACCTTGGACAGCTCCCTTAACCTCTCTGGGCCTTAGTTTCCTCCCCATAGATGGCTGTGGGACTCCATGAACCTATGTAAAGTGCTTGGTGTTCTGTGGAGCAGATGCTAAGTCCGTTGCTGACTTTACCACCACCTGCACCCTGCGGATGAGAAATCAGAGGCCCAGTAGGATACAGGATTTTCCCAAGGTCAGCTATCTGTGCAGCCCCAGAGTCAGGACTGAGGCACCACGCCTGCTGTCACATTAGGCCTCTCCAGGCCAGAGGGGACCTCGGCACTAGCCGAGACCTGCACCCCTTCCAGGACAGGGGTCCCCCTGCAGCTCTGGAGAGAAAGTGTCTGGGCCTCGGCTAGAGCTCTCAGGGATGCAGATGAGCCTCTGTGGGTACCCCCCTGCCCAGCCCCCAGGGGAGCACCTGATAAATGTTGGACAAGGAACTCTACCACCCCAGATGGTCTGATTCCTGGGGTTTGGGAAGCCTCCATTTGAAGATGCTGGAGCCCCTGCTTCTAGCCCCATGGCTACCCAACTCCCAGCCTCCTCTGCACCATCCCTGTGGCTACCCCACCATTGTCTCGTTGCCCCAGCCTGCCCACCACCTGCCAAGGAAACTGCGGGGGAGGAGTGGTTCCTGCCTTCCTAAGACAGGTCAAACTGGAGATACATCTGCCCCGGGGGGCACAGGGCAGCTGGGGCACTGAATCACCCCCACAGCACACAGCCCCGCAGTGGGCAGTGGTGCCAGGTAGCAGGTACCTCTCCTCCCTCCTCTCCCCTCCTGCCCAGTCACCTTCCCACCCCTCAAGGCCCACCTGCCTCAACCAGGCTTTTGGCCCTGGTGCCTTGCAGAGCTTGGGCCTCCCCAGGCTTGGTTCCCTCCCATGGCCAGCCCCTCACCCCTTTTGTCCAGCACCCAGGACTGTCCTTCCAACCAAGTTCAACCCAATGCTTAGGTCTTCATCTCAGAGTAGGGGAATTGTCCCAGGACATACGTGACAATATCTGGGGACATTTGTGGGCTTCATAAGGACAGGTGGGGTAAATGGAGACCAGAGCTGCTGCTCAGGCCCCTATACTGCTTGGGCTGAGGTTGGGAACCGGGTCAGGGGCAGGGCTGGAGGCTGGGAGGCGACCCCAGTGACGGCACCTGCACCCTCCCCTCCTGGCATCTGGGATACCTGTGTCCAGCTCAGTCTCAGACTGGGACTCCTTGAAAGCCCAAGAAGCCAGCTCTCTGGCAGCTCCCAGAACCACCTTAAGCATGGACTCAAACTCTCCCTTGCTTTTTAGGAGGAAAGGCTCAGGGGAAAGCCTAGCCTAGGAAACCAGATCTGCCTCCCTCTGCCTGGAGGTCCAAGGACCACACCTGAGAGCCTAAGCTCTCTGTAGGATTGTGAGTGGGTTCTTCTTTTTTTTTTTTTTTGTGGAACTGGGGATTGGACCCGGGCCCTTGTGCTTGCCAGGGCAGCACTTATTCTACCGAGCTATCTCTCTGGGCCCTGTGAGTGGGTTCTAATGCTGGCTTTTACGCTTTAACTGCAAGACTTGAGCTAACAATGGCTTCCCTCTCCATGCCCCACCTTGCCCCTTTGTTGGACCAGAATGCATAGGCCCAGAGTCATTGTCAGGGTAGGATTCCAGCCTTTGTATTTGAGAGTTAAATGCCAGGAGCTGCCAACTCCAACAACAGCACTGGGCCCCTGGAAAGAGCGATGGGAGCAGATAGGATCTTTAAACTTCCAGCTTGGCAGGGGTAGATGTCCACCTCTCCCTGTTCGTGTGCACCTCACACAACCTCCCAGGGCAGCCTGCAGGGCCCCTGGATGGAGATAACAACCCTGACCCATGATTCAGTACCCCAGGGCAGAGCTCAGCCACCCCCAGATCCTGTGGCAGCTAACCAAGGCCAAGACCCCAGAGTTCCCGATTAGCTGCTGGGCCAGGCCAAATCCAAGGACACCACAGGGCTCCAAGGGAAAAAAATCAGCAAGAGTCAGCAAACCACCTGGACCTCTGGCTCTTACCCATATATGTCCACGACGGTCTCCACACCAGCCACGCACACCGCAGTTGTGGGATGCTCCAGGGACACGCGGACAATCCTCTGCAGCGACATGCTGGCCTTGGACTGGGCTGTGGCCACCAAACCCAACACTGTTCCCTGTGGCCCTCTGAGATGTGGTTTAAAAGTCTCTGGCCCTGCCCCTCCAGCACAGGGTGCAAGCTTATTGGATCCGTGCCTGGAAGCCCAGCCCTTTCCCAGAGTCAAGAGCTCAGAATTGGCTGGAAGGGACTCATTATTTGCATACAAACTTGTTGCCCCCACTCTGGCACCCAACGAGTTAATTTCTTGCTCTAGGGGGAGCAAGTCCCCACAGGTACCTGCCCAGGGCACTGGGGCTTGTTTGGGGTGCAGAGGAGGGCAGGCAGAGATAAATGGAATTGATCTTGGCCCTTCCCTTCCTTACCCCCTGGTCCTTTTTTTCCTGGGTTTTCTGAAGCAATTTGGTTTGGTGGGAGTTGGTTGGAATGCAGATTCCCAGGCCTGCTTCTCCCTGATACAGCAGGTGAGAGGGGCAGCCAGTGTCTGGATCTTCCCAAGCATTCCAGGGCATTCTAATGACCTTGGGACACAGCCTTCTTCTTTAGAGCACAGACTTTAAGCCATGACTAGATGCCAGCCCTGCCTCACCTCTTCCTGTTCTGGCTCACTCCATTGCTCTGACCTCACTGTTCCCATCTGAGAAATGGCTGCTGTGAGCCTAAGATAGGGTGGCTGTTGTTGCTATTAAATGCTGAAAACCTTGAAAGGGGTAAATAATGAGGGCGGAAATCATCGCCAGCCAACAGGAGCTCAGAACGTCGGCCTAGGAAGCTCAATGGCAGGTGGGGAAACTGAGGCAAGAAGGGGCATCCAGGCTCCTGGCACAGCAGGAGCAAGGGCTCTAGGGAGAGGAATCTAGGGTTTGGATCCAGGCTCCACTATGCATGAGTGAAGTGGCACTGGGGGGCTGCGTCTCATCTCTCGGGGGCCTCAGTTTCCTCATCTGGAGAAAATGTAACTCATTGGCAGCCCTGGCAGAGATACTGGGAGGGACACGTCCTGCCTGGCAAAGGCTGGGAGATGCTGAATAGAGGTTTTCTCCCTTCTCCCTGGTGGGGCTGCTCATCCGGGCAGCTGGGGACAAGGACCTGCTTTCGAGAGCCTCAACCGGGGCATTTGCACTGCCCTGTGATCTATCTCACCAGGACCCCAAGACAGGGCTCCTGTGGGGTCAGGGCTCCTATACCCTAGCTCCTGGGAAGGATGTTTTCAAGGAGTGTTATGGGTGGGGCCTCTGGGTCTAGAAACAGCTTCACTTTTTTCAGCTGCAAAGTGGCCTAGTGGCCAGCTCGGCTTCAGGTAAGAGGCGGAGCTTAGGAGGAAGCTCACAGTCCCCCCAGCCTGGCTCAGAGCATATTTGGGGACCAGGTAAAGAATGTGAAGGTTTTCCCAGAGCCACTGTGCTGGAGACAGGCCAGCTCCTGCTCCATCCGACTCCATATCTCCCTGTGGAAGGAGATCGGTGCCTTTGTATCCCCTAGTTGGTACCCCCTTTTAGAAACAGGTCTGTGGTTTGTTCAGACTAAAGTGCCAGTGACTGGTGGATGGCAACTTGTTGCCTCTTGGTGCACAGCAACAGCTAAAAGAAAGTTATGCAAGTGACTGGGCATGGTGCGATGCAGCAGCAAGTGGAGAAGATGAGAGGGGTAGCGTTTCCGGGCTCCTGATGTCGGGTGGTTGAAAGGCTCCATGGCCGAGTGGCACCCTAGTGGTCTGGGCCTTGCTCAGTGGAGGCTCATAGGCCCCAGCCCCCTCCCTACTTCCCTCCAGCACCCAACGATGGCCCAGGGGGAGGGCAAGAGAGGAGGAAGTAGGACACATCCCTCCCCGATACCCATCTCAGCTGGGCAGTCGGCCCCGGGGCCCGGGCATGTGCTGAGCCAGGGCTCCGCTGACTCAGGCCTGCCCGGCACTCACTCACCTGCAGGGTACACAGATGCTGTCCAGCTGAATGGACCCGGCAGGGCAGCAGCTGAGCTGGGTGGGGGATGGGCAGAGCCCCGCCCAGTGCGGCCCTCCTCCCACAGCCCAGCACACAGGCAAAGGGAATGCATGCCAACATTTTTATTGATGAGGAAGGAGGTGACTGGAGTGTCCTTACCCGAACACTCTCGGCAGGACCCCAGGACCCCAGTGGCCCCAGCAGCAATTCCACAGCCTCACAACTCCCCGTCTCTCTGCACCCCTGCTCCCCTCCCACCCAAGGCCCTTTCCCTGGGGGTTTCCAACGCAGACCTCAAAACCTCAGGCCCTTCTTCACAGCTAGGATCCGATTGGCCCTGATCCTAGGACAAAGATGCCAGGGTCAGAGACAGCTTGCAAAAGGGCCTGAGGACCTTCTCCAAGGAGAGGACCGGGCTTCCCGTTCACCCCTGTTAACTATGCCTGTTCTACAAAAGCCTTTATTCCAGGCCCCAAAGAGGGACAGCCCTTCAGAGTGAGTCTGAGACTCACCAGAAGCCTCCACACATACAGACAGGAGGAGGTCCAGGGACCAACAGTGGGCACTGCCCCCCAGCCCGTGGGGAGGACGCAGGCTGGCTCCCTCCTGCCCAGGCAGCTGCAGCCTGCCCGCACATGCCTGTCTGGCTCACAGGCTATTAACCTCGCGAGCAGCAGCAGCAGTCTGTCCTTCTGTAGGAGGGACCCGGCCTGCCCCAGGGGGTTGCTCACAGGCAAAGCTGCATGCATGTGTGCGTGTGTGCATGCCTGTGCTTGGTGTGTGTGTGGGGGGCAGATTGCTGATAGACAGCGGACCAGCCTTCCCTTCCCCTGCCTGCAGAAGGAAGGGGATAATGACAGACTATTAAAGGAAATTAAGCCCCACCTTCAGAGATAACCTAATGGTCCCCCCACCCTCTTCTAACATCTGGGCCCCACCCCCACCACATCTGGAACAGCCAGCTGCCTACAGATTCAGAGTTCAAAATCCAAAGCCCTGGTGGTCCCAGGGTGCAGAAGTCTCCAGGCCCGGAGGTCAGTGCCAGCCTCCTCCGCTACTCTGGCCTTGGGCCCTTCTGCTCAGGCCTCCTTCCTCAGCCTTCCCAGGTTCCTTTCTGCCGCTCAGCATTTTTAGGCCGGAAACAGCCAGCTCTCCTTAATTAAAGGCTTCCAGGCAGGTAACAAGCACCCTTGGAGGGCTGAGGCAGATATTAAAGTGGTTTCGTTGCCTCTTTTCTTTTTGAAACAAGCCCTCGGACACCAGGGTTTCCTGTCCCTGTTTGCTTCTTACAGCTGAAGGGCATGAGGGTGTCATGGCCTGGGTCCCCTTTGGAAGAAGAGTGCCCCATATCTCCCTTCCTGGCCTGATGACAGCCAGAAGCCTCCTGGAATGGAGACCCTCACTGCAGATCCTGGGGGTCGGCTCCCACTCCTGGTGCAGACCCAAAGCCGCTCTTCCTATGCCCCTTGGAGGCATCTGGATGGGGGGAGCCATTTGCAGCCAGCTTGGACATATGAAGGCTACTGGCCTTGGACCTCTTAGTGCCGTGGCAGAGGAAGAGGAGAAGATGGGGTCAGTTGTCCTTGGGCCAGGCAGGGTGGCGTCCATTGCCCGAGGCCAGTGCCCACAGTGGCCAGCACGCTTGCAGGCACCTGGGGGGATGTGCCAAGGACCCCCCAAAAGAGGGAGGCCAGCGTGTGCCCTCACCCTTGCCCGGGCAGGGTTCCCCAGCAGGGGGCAGAGGGGACAGCACGAGGTGGGAGCAGCTCAGGGCACCATGCGCCACCACTTGAAGGCAAAAGGCTTCCGGCGCACGTTGGTGCCGCAGTGAATCTCGCCCTGCAGCCGGTGGTAGGACAAGTAGTCATCGATGAAGATGCAGTGGAGGCCCAGCGGCTCCAGCAGGGCACGCACCTCCTCCTCCAGGCAGCAGCGGCCATTAATGAGCGGCCCGTAGGGCTTGGGGATGCCCAGGTACTTGCCCAGCACCACCATGTTCACCTGCAGGAGACAGAAGGCAAGAGGAAGCTGGGCGGGTACCACAACCTATCCCAGGGGCCTGTCGCCCTCACCAGCACCCCTGAGCCCCCAGGACACACAATTACTCAAGAACAAAAGCTATGGGAACAGAGGAAGAACAGATGTATGGTTGGAAGGCAGGGTTAATAACACTTTTACCAATCAAAATCAGCCCTTCCTCTGATGCTTTATTCCATCTATCAGAAAGCTGTCATGTGTCACAAGAGGCTTTACTGCCAACTGCCAAAAACTTGTACAACAAATACATGGAGCTACTGTGGAGTGAATGGGGCAGGGGTGTGCCGGCAGTGCCCAGCCTGCCCAGCTGTCTTCGGCAGCCCCGATCATATCACCATTTATAGAGCATCTTCTATGTGCCAGCCACACTATGTATCAGTCACACTGTCACTGAAGCTCCAGCCTCTCTGCAGTTACAGCTCAGACTGTGACCACGAGCCAGAGAACAGAGAGATTAAAACCTGAGCTCGGCTCTGACTCATGCCAAAGCCCACGCTCCTGACCCCTTGCAGGGATGGGGCCAGCTGTGGGGCTGAAGAATTGGGGGCTGGGGGGCTGGGAGCCCTTGGGGACACTGAGTATATTGGTGGTGGCACCTCTGCTTCCTTTGGTGGCCTAGGTCCCCATCCTGGAGGATAGTGCCCTGGACAGATATTGTGACCATTTCTCAGGGGGACTCTCAGCCCCAGAGTGGTGGCAAGAGGCATAAGGGAGCTGCCCTCAAGGTCCAAGGGGAACTCTGGTGCACCATCTGGAGCTGATCAGGTGCCTAAGACCAGGGACTCCCACACAGTCCATGCCATGCCCCCTGCCCTGCAGTGTAACCTGTGGCCAGGACCAATGTGAAGCCAAGGGGCCCATGAGTCAGTCCTTGGCCTGGACTCCAGCCTCATTGGTGCCCACAAATGCCTGGAACAGGATGGGTAGGCACAGAGCAGGCCAGGGACCAAGAGCAGGGAGAGGAGAAGGAGCCAGGTTCACAGTCCCCACCAGCCAGGCTCTGCTCCTCTTGAGCTAGGGACACTAGACCAGCCACCGTGTGACCTCAAGCAAGACACCCACTGTCCTTCTGAGGCCTCAGTCTCTCCACTTGACAAAAGTTACTGAGTGTCCCCTGAGTGGCTTTCCAGTGAGGACAGACGCAGATCCCATGGGGGAGCCAGGACAGCAGCTAGAAAACCCCCAAAGGCAGTATCTGTCAGGGAGGGGGGCCCTACCTGGGGGCCATGACCCTCACCACCTTCCGCAGAACCAGGGGCCACTGGTCTCTTAGGGCTCTGCAGGCCCAAACGGCAGCCGCTAGCCACATGGCTGTTTAAACCAAAATTAATTCCCAGTAAGCTGGCTGTGGTGGGGCACAACTGCAATCCTAGCACTTCGGAGTGAGGCAGAAGGGTGCCCCTGAGCTCAAGGCCATCCTAAACCACACAGCAAGACCCTGCTCAAAAAAAAAAATTAAAAAAAGATTAAAAAAAATATTTAGGGAAATGCTGACCCACTGCATCTAGTGGGCAGAGGCCAGGGGTGGCACTCAGCATCTGACAACACGGGATGGCCGGACACCCTTCCCCCTCAGAGCAGTGGTCACTAAGCTCAGGCTGCACCGACAGCATCGTGCCGGCTCCTCCCAGGTGCCACCTGGGTGAGGTCACCTGTGCTCATCTGCTGCCTCGGTAATGAGTCAGCAGGGCTGCCCTACTCAGGCCATCTACTGTCACCCTCAGGCTGCTGAAACAGAAGCCGGAAACACTTGGAATCAAACCACGTTTTCTTTTCACTCTTGGGGCGGGGCTTAAACAAAGCCCTTTGTGGCGGACCGTCCTATGCCCTACAGTGTGGGCACCTGGGCCTTGCCCCCCAGCAACCCCTCACCCTGCACACTCAAGGTGCGCTGGGGCAGGAAGTCTGTGCACCTGCTGGGGACACGGACAGGGCTGTCCCCGTCTGTACCAATGGCAGGTCCTCCGGCCCCGGGACAGGGCTGCCTCGCCTCCAACTCTGTGGGACCTGAGACCGGGGCTCTTGCTCACCATGTCAGGGAAGAAGGCCTCGGCATAGGCACCCTTCAGGGAGAAGAGCTGCGGGATGTCGATGATGTCGCCCTCTGCCAGGCCCAGCTCACGCTTTAGCACCTCTCGGTTCCAGTCGATGCATTTCTGGGGAAGAAGGAAGCAGGCAGCCCTGGACCAGCAGGACCTAAGTGGACCTGGGCACCTGTCGGCTCCTTAGAGCCTCACACAGCTCTGAGACATAGAGGCCACTGTGGTCCAAAGATGGGGAAACAAGGCACAAGCAGCCTCAGTAATGAGGAGCAGGGCACAGAGCTCGGAAGGTGCAGGGCTGGGGTTGGACCTGGGTAGTTTCCCGTTCCACATATACTTGTCACTGGGACACACTGACCCAGTCCCAGCTACAGCGTGGCTTGTGCTGCCATCCACTTTAGCACTCAGAGGAGGTGGTGGCCGCTGGAAGGGGTCGTGGGCTGGCTGCTGTGGCACCGCTCCCTATGGCAGGTGCCACGGAGGGCACTCCCGCCAGAGGCCTCAGGCCCTGGTTCCCTGCACCGCTGTCCACCAGACCCCTTTCTCCCCACGTCTCTCCTCCCCACACTTTCAGAGAACCTGCCTCTGCCGCCATGGGAAAGGGTCATCTCCCTCACCCAGGGCCAGGGCTTCTTCCCAGGACTGGGGCTCCCAGGGAGGCCACGGCGCTGCCTTCCCACCTGTCATAGAAGCCTTCAGGTCTCAGCCTCTCCGCAGCTCCAGGACCAGCACAGGCCCAGGCCAATACCCACCCCCAGGCCATGCCCCGGCTGCCTGTCCCTCACCTGGACGTGGAGGCTGTCGCTCCTGAGGTGTTTGTCTGCCAGCATCTCGTTAATGCTTCTCTTTGCCTTGTGTCTTAACCCTGAAAGAGAAAGAGAGCACAGGGTGCAAGGGATCTTCCCCTGGGAACTGTTCACCCTGGGGTGACATCACCCAGGGCAGGACATTTGTACCACCCACACCAGGGTAAGAAGCCATCATGGTGAAAGTCAGAGCATCAGGAACGGCCCAGTGGCGGGTCAGAGACCTGGGAAGGGACTCCGGGACTTGGGACCTACTAATTATAGCGCAGTTACCATTGCTGAACACCCACAGTGCTCTGAGAAGCTTACTGAAGTGATTGTTAATCTTTAAAACAGTTCTAGGAACAATTAATTATCCCCTCCGCTCATGAAAAGAGGGAACTGAGACAGAACTCCCTGTGGTTGAGCCCACAGCCAGCAGATGCTAAGACCAGGATTTGAACCCAGGAAGAGGCTGCATTCTTTCCTAGGGCACGGACAGGAAGTGCCCTGCCTACCCAAGGACCCGGGGTCCTCAGCTCCCCACCCCTGACCCAGGAAAGGCCGAGCTCTCATCCCATGGCCCCAAGCACCCAACGGCATCAATCAGGCTCCAAAGCAGCAGGGGCAGAGCCTTGAAGGGCGTCACCAGTGCGTGGGCTGGAGAGGAAAGGGCAAGCGCACCCTGGGGTGTCCGGGGGACTGGGCTGTTGCACTTACCAGCAAACTGGGCCGCCTCCCCGTAGCCCTCATCTTTCTTTTTCTGGAACAGCTTGAGGCAGGCGGTGGGGCTGGCCAGGAGCATCCGGAAGCCCTGGCACAGAGTGGGGCGCACAGCTCAGTGCATGGCTGCCTGGTACAGGAGACCCCAAGCCTGGGCAGGCCCGAGTTTAGGAGCCAGACTGCTCTGGGCTTCCTTCTGCCATTGGGTGCCACCACCAGCCACAAGACTGCCTGCAACGCCCCCAACCCACCTGACGCCCTTCCCACTTTGCCCATCAGAGAACTCCTATTTCTGCCTTCAAGCCCCAGCTCAGGTGTCCCCTTCATGAGCACAGGCAGAGCGTGGCACACACCCCGCTGCATCCTGTCTGTGCCTGTCACAGTGCCTCCTCAGTGGCCTGGAGCCACCAGCCTGCTGCTCCCCGAAGTCCACACCCTCCCTGGTGCCCTCTGCAAGGTAGAGGAGCCCAGCAGTTAGCACAGAGACCCGAGCCCCCAGTGGAACCGGAGTGCTGCCCTGCCTCTTGCAGGCATGTGAGCTTGGGTGAGTTAATGGCCCTTCTGAGCTTCAGTTTCCTTAGCTAGAAAAGGGGGCCAGGAGTAATAGCACCACCTCTCGGCTGGGTGGAGAACTGCACACATGAAGCACATAGCAGGCACATAGTAGGTGCTCAGTAAATACTCGTTATTACAAATGCTGTTCCGGGCTCTTGGCAGAGGAATTTGGGCCTGAATACACACTCACATCCTCCAGAAAAAAACCCGGATTGACATAGCCTAGTCCCAGCCCCCTGGACATGGAGTAGAGCTGACACCAGGTGGCGCCATCAGGCCAGGCAGGGGCAGAAGCAGCTCAGGCAGATGCCATGGAAGGGGGCGGAGACAGTGGGCGGGGCGCACCTTTGGGTCGGATGTGGGCACGAAGCTCAGGAACTCGTCCACGTGGCCTACGGACAGCCAGTCTGAGTAGAGCTCCAGGGGCGCCTGCACCCGCTGGGCTGCCAGGAAGTCCCGCACCACCTTGGCCATCCGCCGCCCGCTGGACCTGCGCACACAGTGCAGCTGTCACCCCTTGCCCCTGCATCCCAAGCTGCACATCAGGAGTCCGTTCTCAGATGTGGAAGCTGAGGCCCAGAGAGTCACAGAGATGCTTCCTGGGCCACACAGCTGGGGAAGGACAGGGCCGAAGCTCCCCAGGTCTAAGCTGAAGCTGGGGCTGCAAGCACGGGGCTGCTTGGGAAGGGACCCCAGGGACCCATGCAGGTGGGTTCTGCCTGACGTGGGCCCCGCCCCGGCCGGAAGCTGGTCTTCATGTTGTCCATCTTCCGGAGTGTGCTCACTGCACCACCTGACATCCTCCTGGTGGCAGGGCAGGTCAC